ATATATCAATCCTTGGTAATTCCAAAAACAGAAAATAGAAAAATACATGCAGCAAGAGATTTCTCAGCATTCACGTCTCGAAAGTCATGCTTTCGCACTCTTTTTTGATGGAATCGAACAAGACCGTTGACAAATACCTCTCCCCAAAACTGGGGAACACAACCTACAAAATGTGGGAGAAAGGTGAGGTCAGATATCGTGCCATACATGTGTACGTGCATATGCATATAAATTTATACATACATATATGAATATATATACATGTGTGCATGTATATCCACATAAATGTATACATATAAAAACGCATGTTAAATAAATACAGAGAAACATGCATATACATGTGCACTAACAGTAACAGTGTCACCTAGACAGTCCAATCCTTTGGTATTGCGTGTCAATATGTATTTTGACACTTAGACATGTGTTGACCATCCAAACACGCTATAGATACTTCCAGTACATGTGCACGCATTTATTGTACCGACACTTTGTATCAACTTCTCAAACACGGCATACAATTTTATGCATTCAAATAAAAGGGCTTTCATTGGTGGGTTTTGAACTCCCAACGTGTTGTAGGAGTACGGTGCACTTCAAAAATCAATTAGGAAAGGTTATTTCAATGTTGGAAAACCCCCAAATTGATCATCTCAACCTCGAGATGTATTAGTATAGGCAGAGAACAAAAAAATTTTAAAGTCCTAAAAATAGTGCATATTGTAAAACACATTATCTGGAGTGTCCATTTTCAAGGTTTTCAAGTGTTTATAGGCTCGCTTGATTTGAACTATGTTTAGAATTCAAATTTTTACAATTAGAGGGAAAATAGTTTTCAGGCCATCCAAATAATTTTCAGCATTAAAATCACGTATCAGACAGTTAGGGAGTACAACTTATTTTGATTGTTTAAGGTTGCAACCTTACGCAAACCATTGTTTGTAAAACACATTGCATTTTACAAATATACTAAAATATAGAACATTGCATTTAATAAAAGTTGAATGGTGAAAACAATTAAATATTATCACATGAGACTAAAAAAGAGAAAAAAAAAAGAAAGTCCCGTATAAAAGGAAAAAGTTTATATAAGGTTTACACTTTAAAGTGTACAATTAAGGTGCACCACTAAAATCCTTTGGAAAATGTTATTTTGATGTTTGAAAAGCATCGAATTAATCATCTTAACATAGATATGTATAGATGTGGAGAAAAAAAAAAGATTTCAAACCCTAAAAATAATACATCTTGTTGTCTAGATCGGCCATTTTCAAGATTTTCATGCGTTTAGAGATCTACTTGGTTTGAACCATTTTTGGAGTTTAAAATTTTATAACTAAAGATAAAAATAAATTCTCGCACCACCCTAAGAATTTTCGACACAAAAATTGCATCTCATGACAAAGTTTGGAGGTATTTGGAGGTGCACCTTACTTCGATTGTTTAAGGTTGCAAGCTTATGCAAACTACACCCCTTATAAAATATTATCTCATACATGCTTAGACAAATCTTTGATATGTAAATATGCACTATTATCTTATTAATAAACTTTAAATATAATTTTGGTTTTAAGACCTAAGTTAAACTTCATTGGTTTAAATTTTGCATATACATTAAATTATCAACGGTTCTACCAATTGCTTTGCTAATGGAATATAATTTTACTTTTCTTGCAAAGAATAAATTGATATTTTTAAGGTTTATTTTAATTTTATTTTACTTATGGTTTATGCATATGTTATATTTATTTATTACAATTGTACGAACGTGTAGGGGCTGTACTAGAGTTTTAAGAAGTGTGAGGACACGTGGCCACACACCCACCCCATTTCTTACCCCTCCCCAATCAATACCGACTGCCTCCTCTCTCTCATACCTGAAAAGTCCCTATTTCTCTTCTCATCTGTCTTTCAAAATCCCAATTTTCTCTTTCTTCATTTAGTTGAGAGAGCCTAGGGCTGAGAAACACCTTCCTACAAACCGCCTCTTCTCTCTCTCTTCCTCCCCCAACCACCTACCTCTCTCTCCTCAGACCCACCATCTCTCTATTTGTTTCTCTCTATAGAATCAATATAGGTGTGGAAGGAGCGAGATAACGAGAAAGGAGTCATGAGATGGGGATTGTCAAAACGCTTTGAATCATAAGATTGAAGGCAATAGCTGAAATGGTTCACCTAGTTTCTCGGACTCAGACTAATGGGGTGGAAAAAGAGAACGGGCTGAGCGTTTTGATGGTGTTTTAGAGAGAGAAGTTGTCTTGGTAATGGTAGGAACTTTGAGGATAGTTTCAGAAGAGCAGTTCTCGCTGAAGCAGTTATTCGGATTCTAGTGAAGATGACCCAAAAAGGGTTAAGGGATTGCAGTGAAGATAAATGCCTGACTAAAAGAGGGAGTTTGTTTCCTATCAAGGCAGAGAGAGAGAGGGATCCAAGCGAAAAGACCGGGAGAGACGAGAGATTGTTTCCTGTAAGGTCAAATTACTACTACGTCACTGGCTTTAGATTGGAGAAATATTATTTTAGATGAATTTCATAGACTTTGATCGCTGAGTTGAGGGCTTAGGGTCTTGAAACAGTTAATGTATAGTTTGATGGGAGGGTGAAATGTAAGTGTAAGAAGTGTGAAGCTTTTTAATCCGGCTTCGGTTCTTCAATTTGTTTCTATGTGGTTCAAACGTTTGGTGTTTGCGGTGTACTAGACACAAACAGAGAAAATATGAGAATGTAGAGTCTATGAGAAAATATGGTAGAGTGAATGCACGTATTTGAAGATCAGAGAGAGAGAGAGAGAGCGAGAGAGAGAGAGAGTAGGGGAGGTTGTATTGGAACGTTCGATCGAGAGAGAGAGAAGAGCGGCGGAGGGTGTATTGGAAGGAGAAAGAGAGAGAAGCATGGGATGGAAAGTTTGGGGCTCGAGCTTGCAGGCTAGAGCGGGAGAGAGGCAGAGAGGATGAGTGATGGAAGTTTCGGGCTTTGGGGCCGGGTATAGGTCGTTCAATATGTGGCTTGGCCCAAAGCCCAAAAATTGGCCTGAACCAAACATGAAAGCCCACGGCCCCACCTGGACCATCAGCAATCCTATATGCAAGTGCAATTTATGACATTCAATAATAAAACATGGAAAAGTGAAAAACTACATCTCTAGGAGCAGGGGTCAAGCAAAAGAGTGGGAAAAGGCTAGGCGGCCAGGCCAGCCCCGGCCCCAGGTCACTACACGAGGGCTGGGCAGGGCCACCTAGCCCAAAAGCAAGGCTGGGATGGGCCTGTTGTGATTGATGGTGGTGAAAATGCAGCAGGAATATGTCACATTAACAGCTATTGTGCATCCAAAATCACATAAACCAGAACTAAAAACAATATGGAATCAAAAGAACAACATAGAATGAAAATATAGCAGCAAGCACATCACAAAACACAAGAATTTAATGTGGTTCAGTGACAAATCCACGGGAGAATGGTGTGAGGCTTTACTTACTGATTTGGAAAGACTACAAGGCCAAAGACCTTCATACAAAGGGCTTTCTCTCTCTACTAAGTCACTATTACAGCACATCCAACGAAAACAATGCAATGGGTTCTTCCTACACACTTTCCCTCTCTAGAGCAGGGAACACAGTAAACACCCAATGGAGCTCAAGCCTTTTACTTACTTTCTCTCTCTAAAACAGAGTATATAGCAGCACACAAGAGACAACCCAACTGCAGTCACACTCTCACTCTAAAACAGAGTATATAGCAGCACACAAGAGACAACCCAACTGCAGTCACACTCTCACTCTAAAACAGAGTATATAGCAGCACACAAGAGACAACCCAACTGCAGTCACACTCTCACTCTAAAACAGAGTATATAACGAGCAAAGTTCCTACAATATCGCAACCCTTGGATTGAAACAACCCTTAGATTGGTTTCAATCCATTAGTTTCAATCCAAGGGCTCAAAACAAGAGATGAAAAGTAAAAAGAACCACATGTGTGATTTGGATTCATACATACATAACAAGGCCTCCCCCCCATTGGCCAGTCAGGGCCTGTAGGGTGCCAGGCCAGCCTTGGCCAGCCAGATGCCACCCTTGGACTCAAGCACCATCCCAGCATGCACATGTACATGAATGCATAGGTACACACTAATCTAACTAGTGTGAGGCTTGAACAAGGTACATACCTGCACACATACACATGCATGCATAGACAAGCGCCCCCAAACAATATTAGTGTACAAAGTCTGAACTTCACGGCCCATTTTGAAGGGCCAAATTCCATTAAAGCATGGGGCTATTTGGGAATATGTGAAGGACAGGTTTTCTGTTCATCATACGATGGGAGAGTTTTGGTGGATTTTCTTGATAACCAGGTCATAGAAAGGCCTTGACCCTTGTAGATCAAGCTATTCCCCCTACACTGGGGGAGCAAACAGACTTATTTCTCAATAAATTTATAAATAAATGATCCATCCAAATGGGCCTAAAGAAACGGAAGCCTACATTGATTCCAACACTATGGAAATTTTCACATGGTAGAAAATAGGTATTCTCTGATCTGACCCTATGTCTGAAATGAATGTGTAAGAGAAGGAAGCTGTACTTACAACAATGAGCTTCCCAGTATACTCTGGCCTCTTTCCAAGCTTGATTGCAGCAGCAGCAGCAGCCCCTGATGATATACCCACCTGCCATCCATCAACAAGTCTCTCTCATCAAAATATTGATACAAAACCAGAAGAAAAAACAGACAGACTCACCAATGCCAAACCAGTACGTGTGTGCATGAGAGAGGTATCAGCGGCGAACAATTCTTCCAATCCCAATCAAGGGGAAAGATTAATAGTAATGCAATTTCTCATGAGAGAGAGAGAGAACACAATAGTACACAATTTTCTCAAGTCCCAATCAAGCATTGCTCAAGTGAGATCAGTACTAGTTTCTCAAATTTAAATTCGAATGTTATTTGATGAATAATCTGAAGATGATTTGATGCAGTTTACTCACCAGCAATCCTTCTTTCAGAGCAAGCTGCTTGGCCATTTCAACTGCTTCATCACTCGAGACCTAGTGATTGCACCAAAAAAACAGGCAATTAGATAAATAAAGAGTATCCAAGATAACTGCCCATTCCCAAGTACCCCAGCTCGAATTCCAACCAAAGATAGAAGATGTACACAGAATTTAAATGTTAGAATGTTAAATGTTACATGTCATGGAACACATTTGGCCCATTCAACTCCCTCGAAAGCTCAATCATGGATTTGACTCATATCCTGGTTATGAATCTTCCAGAAGATAATAAATGGAATCAAGGTTTTGCAAATTTGCTATTTGGTCCAAATGTTTTTAAATACTGGATTTGCCAATTTCATTAGATTTTCAAGCTATAAAAGTTTGAGCATGACCTTTTCTCTTTGAGCATGACCTTTCTCTGTCTAACTTCACTCTTGAACGGTGCCCTTTTTCTCGCTAACTCCTCTCTCTCTCTCTCTCTCTAACCAGCCCTTACTAACTTCACTCTATTTAACCATGCCCGCCCTCCCTCCCTCCCTCCCTCCCTCTCTCTAAAAGGTCAGGATCGAGATCCCCAAGAGGTTGGGATCAAGATCCCCAGCGTATGTGTATAAACGGTGCTCCCACCTAGAGGGATCTTCTAGCCTTTCACAATCCCCGGCTCCTGCTCCCAAAGTGCCTACTGATCCCAACAACTATGGGTCTTTACCTAATTCATGAAGAAGAAATTGAAAGAAAATAAAATTAAAAGATGAGAAATAACGTCATGACTTTCAACCATGTGTTCTGGAGTCTGGACAAGGCTCAACAAGCAGAGACCAATCCCGATTACAGGGATGGATTGCAAATCGAAGATTCATAGCAGTCATGCCTCCATTTTGAACAGCTTCAATTGGGTCAAAGTGTTTCCATATGGTCCCTATTCTTTATCATGACCATCCTCTACTTTTTAAGAACTTGGTTTTCGTGCCGCTCATAAGAATTACTGGATTGCTGCTCTACATTGAACTAATTCAACTCTATGCATGTCTTGGTGCAAATCTTTAAGTGCATATCTATGTAATGATTCCATGCTTGCATATGTAAGCTTTATTAGTGCGCTCGAATCAGTTACTTCCACTCTATATTAATTCATCGATTCAAGATAGTACAAGGGAGGATATATATCAAAGTTCTAAAATCCGGATCAAGAGGCTGGATGGGTCACCCAGTGGACCATCCGGATAGCTTATAAGGGCCGGTTCGGACCAATCCTCTGATGTGGGAATCGGAGCAAAAAAAAAACAATATTTCTAATTTAGAAAGAATCAAAAAATTGAAAAATAAAAAACAAAATAAAATGGGTGGAATCCAGGTGATTTGGCTGATCTAGATCACCCGGTTCTCTAACAGATCACTCAATTATTTGACAGAGCCAGGTAAGTCTATTAAAATCGAACCAATTCCCGATTCCAACAAGGAACTTGCTCAGTCCCGTTGATTCCTGATTCGGATGGGCGATTCCCAATTGGATCATGGTGTTTCTAAAAGTATTAGTACAGATAACAAGGAAAACAGGACTGTTGTGGGTTCAGCTAATCATAATGGAATAAGCTACAAATAGTCTTTGCTTTTATAGAAGTAATATCATTTAAGAAAATTGCATCTGACAATAATTAAGAAAAAGAAGGTGAAGGCTTACCTGTATGACATCATCCAGGATATTGACTTCCAAAACCCCAGGTATAAAACCAGCACCAATTCCTTGAATTTTATGAGGACCTGAATAATATAATGAAGAAGGCAGGAAAAAAAAGTCATTTTATCAACAACTATTTTATTATAAATTCACATAAAGAAGCAATAACATTGTATACACTTTCAGGATAAGTGAGAATTCAGCATCATGCGAACATTGACACAGCTGATCTCATGACAGTGCAAGCCTGTGGACCTACAAGCTATAATGAGAAGTCACTGATGGAACCAGGTTTCTTTTCGTTAGACGACAAAAAGGATGCAAGCACATATTTTAAAAAAATTTCACTTTCCATAGTATGGAACTTGAGCTCATGAACCTACAAAATCAAAGGTTTAGATAAAAAGCACTATACTACCAAACTATAGTAGCAGATCGTAGATCAGCCCATCTTAATCACGTATAATGAAAATTTCTGATACTCAAGCCAGACCAACCATGCAATAATACTAAATCATTTTATGATGCATAAATAACAAGAACTTAATAAGGATGCCTATAAGTGTTAAGACCAGCACTTCGATTTATTAAGAGCACTCAAATTGATAACTGACCAGGCTTTCCTCCAGAGAGAATAGCACTTTCAACTGGCTCGACACCAAAGAGCTACAAGAATACAAAACCAAACAATGATCAGAGATTCAGAGGCAATGAAACAATAAGGATGATACTTGGGAGAAATAAGTTATCCCGTAAGCAACCTCATAATACAAATAAACTGACCTTGATTTCAGGATTTCGCTCCTTCAGATAACGCCCTACACCAGTAACTGTGCCTCCCGTTCCAATTCCAGAAACAAAGGCATCAATTTTGCCACCAGAACCTTTCCAGATCTCAGGTCCAGTGGTCTCATAATGGATCTGCATAGAAATATGAAAACCATCCGAAAACAAAAATTCAATCAAATTATCACCGCCCTAAACTTCAAAAAGTAAATACGTTATAAACACATCCCATACCTTAGGGTTAGCAGGATTTTCAAACTGCTGAAGAATGTAAGAGTTGGGTATCTTCTCCAATAGCTCTTCCGCCTTTTGAACAGCACCTTTCATCCCTCTTGCAGGATCAGTGAGGACTAATTCAGCTCCAAAAGCTCGCAAGATTATTCTCCTCTCAAGGCTCATAGAAGTGGGCATGGTGATGATGAGTCGATAACCCTTAGCTGCAGCAACAAAGGCCAGCCCTATGCCGGTGTTGCCACTGGTAGGCTCAATCAACACACTCTGTAGTGTGAAGCAGACCACATAAACCATGGACAAAGTATTAAATGAGTCACTGACCTAAACCAGAAACGTGTTCCCTTGGACTCATATTAAAAAGGAAAAAGGATGACCATATTAAATGTATGTGTGTGTGTGTGTGTGTGCATGTGTGTGTATGTGGTGGGCGGGGGGAAGGAGAGAGAGTAAACTGATCCAAATTTCATACAAGAAATCACAGTTCAATATTCTCGCAAATATCAGGGATCACAGTGGAACAAATCGTTTAAGAGAATCATGGCAAAAATCATACAGTTACATAGACCCAGCAAGAAACTTGTCCAGTATTACCCACAAAGCTTTGATTTTAGGCCAAACTTGTGAATAATACACAAAATTTCAGTCCAATTATGTCCAGAATTTGACCCACCCAACAAAAATGATGAAATTCAGCTCAAATTAGAACAAAATGTGATCCAAACTTTACCCCAATATTTTTTGTTTCAATTGGACCAAATCCAGGGTTTTGGCCAATATATAATTTCTTAGGCACATAAAAAAAATGCTAGTTTTTCGAGCAATCACGTTTATACCCCTAAAATGAATCCTGACAGAAGGTAAACAAGCCTTGAAAATCTAGACATCCCAGCCAAAATATTCTTTGATGACTAGTATCCACTAGATTGTTGGGGTAATAAAATTAAATATTCAACAACATTGCACAAGTCAATAGTAATTTATAAATAAGAACGTTATATGGGTAGGATTCTTTCAATGAAGAACACTACTGCCCAGAAACCTGACATGAAATTTCCCAACAAAATTGTTCGCTGGTTTATACTCCATACACTTTATACAGGTATAGAACAAGAGGCTAGAATTATCCTGATTGAATTGTCCGACTGTCCATGAGTTCCCTACTGATTAATCATAGAATTTTGATTACAGATTAGATTTATATAAAAGACATTAGGTACATATAAAGTTACAAGGTTTGAATTACCTTGGAAGAAAATCGAAAATGGAAAGAAAGACAGCAAACACAGGGAATAAACCTGTCCAGGTGTAATTAGACCCTTCGCTTCAGCATCTGAGATCATGCTGTACCCAATCCTACAAGTAGAAATGCAACAAGATGAAATCAGGGAAAATTTTCATTCTTCTGTTTTCCTTTTAATCATTGACTAATCAGAAAATTTATTCAACTTGAACACTAAAAGGATGCCAAAATATACCTGTCCTTGACGCTGGAGCAGGGCTCCATCCCCTCCAGTTTAGCAGCAACGCGGGCAACACAGCCCTCTGTGACATTATTAAGATAAACTAAAGGTGTTTTACCAATCAACTGTTCACAGATCAGCAAACACAAATCAAATGTCAGATAATTCTAGTTTCTTCAGAAAGAAGTAAAATAAAAAGAATAAAAGAGACCCAGCAAAAAGTTTTAAAAAAAAATGGTTGAAACAAGGAAATGCTTACTTCAGTAATATCTTTTGCAATTGCAGAGCCCACTTCTCCCATTTTCAGACTGAAAAAGTTAACAAACAGATATGAAAGAATATCACATCCTCACTCAAAGATTGAAAGGAATGAGGAAAAATGAGAAGAATCAGGCCACTATGGGTGTCATCTAGCGTAACCAACAATCAAATAAGAATGTTTCTTGAATACTCATATCATCAAAATACAACCAACACGAAAAGCATAAAGCAGTTTCAAATTAATAACTTTTGTACACCACAATAATGAGATAATATACATTGAACCAGGAAATGAAACACAAATAAACATAATAAAATATGAAACACAAGGAACTTGATAAAATGAGTGAAAAATATGTGATATAAGTACATGACTGATAATCAGCAATTTCATCTAAGTTTTTATAATTGAGGTTCCTTAAATCTTTAATGATCACACCATCTGAATCCAAATTGACAAAGAATCAAAGTAGAGAGTTCCGGCTCTGTGCTTACACGGTGCAGAATGAAAGTAAAATCGAGAAATCTTCCTAAATTCTTTAGAGTGAGAGCATGATAGTTCTTGGGATCCATCAAAATACTCAAACTTGAGGAAGTCAGCAGAGGTCTCATTATGTGATGGAAAGGGCATGATGCAAAATCAAACTAATACTCTAGTATAGCATCCTTAAGATAGGCTGAAACCAACGATAATCTGATAAAAATCAGATGCTGAAATTTTTCAGATTTTCTATATGAAAGCCAAATTCTAGTATTCCTTATGAACTCCAAAAATCTTAGAAGGAATATAGAAACCTGGTACTATGAGATCAAAAGAAGTAAACACACAAGCAACTTGCTGTACTCCAAGTTCTCACAAGAGAAATGAGAAATTGTAATGAAAATTTATATCTACTTTTTATTGTATCGTACTATTTTTCAGTAATCTGGTATGGCTTTCACTGGGTATGTTAATCTCATACAATCACACTAAATCATCAATATAATATCTCTTACAAGAAAATATAATTCAAAATAGTCTTGAACAGCACAAGAACTACTTTGTAAAGCCACAAACCTTGATACTTTCACTGTATAAATTATATTTCCACATTTCATGTAGAGTTAAATAAAGCCATTATTGGGAGAAAAAATAATTAAATACTAATGCAACCAAATATATCTCCAATGAACCATAAATATTTTTGGAAAATGTAGCGAAAATAGAAATCATTTCCATTCAAGGTAAGTCTGCAAATTCAGAAAGCAAGAAAATATGTCTGATTTTTGCTAAATAAAACAAGATACGATCTCCAAAATCAGAACACACATACTTCCATAATCCAATGAACCATAAATGTTTTTGGAAAATGTAGCGAAAATAGAAGTCATTTCCATTCAAGGCAAGTCTGCAAATTCAGAAGGCAAGAAAATATGTCTAATTGTTTGCTAAATAAAACAAGATACGATCTCCAAAATCAGAACAAGCATACTTTCATAATCCATAAAAGATATCCTGAGATACACACAAAAAAGTGAGAAAGGAAATCCACTGCAACAAAATCAAAACAAAACATACTTTCGTAAAGATCAAAAGCTATAAGAAAAACCGTAAGAAACTCTCAGCGACGACTTCCAATTTCTAAACCAAAAAAAAGTTTTTGCATGTCTAAATAGCAACATTTTCTCACCACCCTTAAAGAATCTCATCATCCTTAAAGAATCTCATCATCCTAAAATAACTCCAACAATGACAAGAACACTTAGAAATCCTCAGAAAATGTGAAAATGAAGCAGCAAAACACCTTTACAGCCTAACGATCGATGGCCACTTCCACTCACCAGAAACCGATCCCTGTCACGACTGGCTCCCAAAATCTGAGTTCAAGGGTTTCCGCTCTTGCAAAGACTTTAAGCCCCTTAAGAGCGACCAATCCTTTTATAAATTATTTATATATGAAGCAATAATATAAGACCGGCGACCAGATAAGATTTTCTTAATTCGTCAGCTTCGTGGCTCTGATACAACTGAAATGTTCAATAAAAGTGCCAATCTTCAAAGCGACATGGACTCTCGCTTCTTGAAACGGTGAACAAGCAAATGAATATGGTTAAAAAAGAAAGTTCAGACAAAACATAAACCCTAGATTTTACAGTAAACGATAAGATACGAAATTTCTTCCCTATCAACCTTTTCTATTTTGGACTCTTTGAAAACAGAAACCGGTTCTTAGACGACTGTCAAATTAGGGTTTTTTGGACTCTTTGAATACAGAAACTCGTTCTTAGACGACTGTCAATTTAGGGTTTTTTAAGGGTTTCGTTGTGAAATCTTGAGATGGAATTGGCACTGGCCTCTACCAAATGCGCCCTCATCAAGTTTAAAGTCAATGCCGAAATGGTAAAAAGCGCCGGGTTAAAAGAGTGTTTTCAACACTAATTATGATGAGTGTGACTAATGGCAAAAAAATACACTTACGTAAGTCGGTTAATGGTTTTGCAGCGCTAATATAATATGCTCCCGTGGGAGCATATTGTACACTTGCTCCCTCTTGAAAAATAACTGCTCACGATGATTTTTTTTAGTTTAAGATCTTAGGATGAACCTCATAAACAAAATTACTATCTTCAAATAGTAATAATAATAATAAAATGAAATTCTTGAACAGCTGGATCTGATTACGTCAAAAGAATTAATGGTATGGCGCTCATTGTCACAAGATATCGTATGGCTTGATCCGTAAGTACCTAATCGATTTCTTTTATGCGATCACTCAATTGAATACATTACATGTCAAGATTGAGTGGAAAACCCGATGATTTTCCATCGAGATCGTTTGATTTCGATCGGATTCCCTTAGAACTGAATCGGTTGTGGGAAGGTATGGGTCTTTGCCCCGATTCCACATAAACGCCTCTTATAAATTTTTATGTTTAAATTGTATTTAATAGACCTTAGGCTCCCAAAATATACCTACTTTATAAAAGCATATCTTAATTTTTTTTTTTCTGTTATTTTCTAACTTTTTTAAATCAATGGCAAACAATCTACCCCGTTGATTCTAGTTTTAAAATAATGGTTGGTACTACTTGTTCACAAATCAGTTCAATTGATTCGGCCGATCTAGATACACAAAAGGGCCAATTAATATTTGCTCCTACGTGGGTGCAAAATTCTTTTTGTCCCATAAAAAAAAAATTGTTCTTTTCTTGTTTTTTTAGTTAGTGAGAGTGAAAGACCAATCCTTAGTTAAATACTTAATTAATTAGCATGTGAGTTCACTGGCCCCAGATCTCGGCCGAATCTTCAGGACAATGAGATGCTTATTTTATAAACCACGATTAGCATTTTAATCGACAGCTCAGACGCTTATATTTTAAACTTCAATTAGGCATTTTAATTTACGGGGTTAGTGAACGTTTTTGATGTTTCGCTCTCGATATGAAGAGAGAGAATGATGGTACGGGCGAAGATTTCTGGGGGTGAAAAATGTTAAATACTTTTTGAGGAATGATTTCATTTTTGGGTTGTATAATAGTATAATGCAATTAAATTTAGAACAATGGGTCTCGATCATCCATTTGGTGAATGTCGAGATCTAGGTCTTAATAAATTCAAAATCATTTTTTCGTTGTTAATCTAATGATGATAGTGCTATATAAAAAAATTTGGAATAAAAATATCTTTTTGAAGCTTATGTTTAACTACCTTACTAAAATAGACGGCTTATATTAATTGGGCTACAAAACACTTTTTATGGCGTCTTTTCAAAAAAATAAAAATATGATTATTCTTAAGAATGAAAAAAGTGTACATTTAAATTTTTGTGTCAAACAAATGTATCTAACATGGTGTTTGAAGATGGTTGCATTATATTACTATACAACTGTTGCGTTAAATCACTCCCCATATTTTTTATTTAAGATGTGAGGGAGATTCATAGCTGATAGGACACCGTTTCTATGAGTCTTAAGAATTCATGTAGGAATGTCCCCTCTTCAAAAAAAATTAGATGAATTTTGGATCTAATTTTTAACAAATATATAATTTCTATCATGGAGATCATGAATATATAAAAAATATATATTTAAAAAGCTAAAAATGATAATTTTATGAATATGTTTAAGGGATTGTCTACAAATATATCATTTATCTTTTGTCCATAGAGGCCACAATTATTCCCACTCATTAGATGTCAAATTTGATGGCTTAGGATGACTGACGAAATCTAATAACTATTTTTTTGTAACTTTGTGTTCATTCAATGACACTTTTACAACTACACAACTTGAAATTTAAGGGATATAAATGATTTTAACTTTCATGTACAAAAGATAAATGATATTTTTGTAGACAATCCCCATATTTGAACTATTAGTTTTAACTTTTTTGGGGGACCGTTCATTTGCATCCACCTTTAAGATGGATGGTTTATATCTCGAGAGGACTCAAATGTAGAAATGCATCTCCTACATATGATTACCTTTTCCTTCATAGAATATCCAATAAAATTTTAAAAAAATTTATCGAAACACACCTTAAATATGACTATTTTTCTACTAATGGAAGTCGAAATCATGTCAATTTTGATGAGAATTTTGAAATTAATTCAAAACATAGAGGTAAAATATTAAATAGCTAATCTCTTACGTGTTATGACAAATTTTACTAATTAAAATTTATTTGATTCATCTAGTTATGAAATCAACCGCAATTAATATACAGCACTTCAGGGGCAATCAACGTAAACAGAGGGTAATTCAAGATCACGATAAATCCATGAACTTGAATGCACGTGAGCTTTCTTAGTAAAGTACCAAAAGTAGCCCATACATTGTACCTAGACCGTCCTTGGCCCAGGACACAGGCATGGGCGTGGTTGGTGGGCCTGAACGCCAATAGGGAGCTTGGTCATTGGAGTTGATCGCTTTGACCTGGGTCCACTAGATCTAGACCTGGGCCCGGATCTATAGTTAAAAGGAAATGCGTATAATAAGACAATTTTATTTTAATATAAGGATATCACAAATTTTGTTGATCTGAAAATTGGGAGTCTCAAAGTATCTCATTGGATAGACACAAAGTTTAAAATAAAGTTCTTATAATTTTGTAATACACCCCAAGCCGTTGAGTTTCACTTCCAACGGCTTAGATTGATTGCGACTTCATGTACTAAAAGTAAAAGGTACAAAGATTGTATACAACGAGACAATTTCTTTTAACCATATATGGGAGGTCAAAATCACGTTTTTAACATTAAATGTGAAATCCAATAGATGAAAGTATGCTATAATATTTGAGAAATTCTATTTTGAACATTGTCATTAAACAATAACATGTCCTCAACTACGGGATTTCTTATCGTGACCTCCTTGTATAAAAAATAAATGGTCTCGATATATACATTTTCGTATATAAAGGGTGAGTTTACGCAAGACACCCACTTTAAACTATACAAGTAAGGTGCACATCTAAAATTTACCAAATGATGTAGTCCCGATATCAGAAACTTTACCATGGCCATTCCGAAAAGTCGTGTTCAACCTAAAGTATGAGATTTTAAAATTTTAAAATAGTACAGATTGATTAGTTCAATAAATATTTTAAAATATTGAAATCTTAAATGCTAATATCCGATGTTTTAAAAACCAGTGATTTCGACCTGGATAGCCAATTCAAAAAGGAAAGAGTCGCGACCGAAGTTGTTTTGGGATGGCATGGATCCTGGCATAGTTTGCCCCTAAAACCTCTCCTTTCGTGTTTTTTTTCCTTTTCTAAAAAGCTTATCTATTTTTTTCTTTAGTGATCCCCTATATCCTCACCCCATAAACCGATATTTTAATTTTAATTTTAATTTTATTTAAATATTTTTTGGATCACCGATTCGGACTAATACAAATTGTTCCAAATCGCGATTCAGCGATCTACCGTAAATAAGTGGGTGAACGATCTATCCCTCCAATCTTGTTTTTAAAACACCACTTATATCTTACCCTAAAAAATCAGATGACCTAAGTGTGATCATATAATGTGATATTTTCAACAGATATACTGTAAAAACATATCTCCCAAATTTATCACTATTTAATAGTTAGCCCCATTTTTTTTTGTTATTATATTCATTTTTTTTTTTCAAAATGTCCAGATTACTGTCTTCGAGATCTGAAATTTAGTAAGCACAAGTTTGTGAAATTTAGTAAGGCAGAAGCGTGTAAAATTTTGGACCAAATTTTAGGATATTGAAAATCCAAAATTTAAGGGAGTCTCAAATCGTAAAATTCCTTTAAGCAAATGAGCTACGTTGTATGAATTTTTTTGGATCTACCCATGATTACTTTTTAAAAAAATAAAAGAAAAATAGATGAGGTCTTCAATTCTCGACTCTTAGGACTTTATTTTCTTTAACCACATATTGTATGTGATTTTCTTTTATTTTCTTTCAATATTTAAGGTCGGGGTTCCTAAAATTATTTTCAGGACTTTATAGTATGGAGATATAAGCTCAACAAAGTAACGTAACTAGTTTACTAAGAGAAGGAAAATTGTTTCATGTGGCCTGACCCGCATATCTACATATACGGTCCAGAAAGTGTAAAGCATCCATCTTAAGGATGGATGCAAGCTGGTGTTCCATCTAAAAAATAATAGAAACTATGGATACAAAATTTTTATTTTTTAAAATTTATTTATTTGTTCATATTTATGACCTTCATGTCAGCGAGTACATGTCGTTAAAATTTAAGTCTTAAAATCCATTTTAAAAATAAATTTATTTAAGGGCCCGCATTTCTACATATGCAGGCTTGGCCGCATAGAAATCGGAGAGAATAAGTGTATAGTGTGCTCCTGCGGAAGTATGCTGGACGCCGAGACATCATCAGGGATGGTGATGACTAATGAATGTATGGTGGGGCAACTCATGAAGAGACAGATCAATGTACACGCCCGCGCCGACGACAGCAATCAAATAAAAAAAAGAGGGGTATGAATGATGGCGTATGCATCATTATCATTGTACTCCCGTTACATTATTTCAAAACCATCCATATCTCCCTCGATTCGCCCTTGCCTATAAACTACTCTTATTTTTAAATATATCGAGTAACTTTTAAACAACCACCACCGCAAAGTTTTTTACATGTAACCCCACCCATATAAAGTATGTGTAATGTTGCTCTCCGCTGTGAAATCTGAATAATCTAGGATGGCTTGAGACATCTCGAGCGCCAGATTTTGATCTGTTGGCTCAGTGTTTTATTTTTTATTTTTTATTTTTATTTTTAACTTATTTTGCAATGAAATTTGAGGCACGCATACATCTTATAAGAACACACATGATTAAAATAATAAAATATTTTATTTTGATGGAAAATTATTA